AGCACAGTGATGTACCAATGGGGGTGAGGAAACACATGTTCCCCGCTGCTCATCCTTTTAAATTGGTTTCCATGAGGAGGGGACAGAAACTGGTCAAACAGCTCCTGATGGCTTTCTGGCAACATCTCTTCCTCCAGAGCTCATGAATATGGCAGGAGATGGTATTCCACGCAACAAATTGGAATCTCCGTCTGATGACCTCACTTGTCTCGGGGGAGACTATGCGACTGGCAAGCCTGGTTGTAATGCACTCGTAGGAGGAAGCGTGAGCAGCAGTGTCTCTGTAGATGGCCCCACAGTCACAGCAATGTCTACTTTGGGAACCGTGACCAGTACGTTGCAAAAAAGTTCACAGAAAATCAATGATGATATAAAACATGAATTGATGAAGGAAGTTGGCAAGTTGGATGAAGTAAATAGTGAAAGAACATGTATTAACAGAACACCGAGGAGTCTCTCTCATTCTGTGATTTAGAATAGAATAGATACAAGCTGTCCCTTGAGGTGCATTCTTTGGCAAAATTGTGTTTTCACATAATTTAGAGTGGCTCCTCTTTACTTTGACTGAAAATTCCCAATCCATCTTTTTCTTTCTCATTTCTTACTTGGTTACTGTTCACTAGCGTTTCATTACCACATACCTGCAGGGCCCTGATTCAGGTGTTCAAAACACAAACTGTATTCACCACATTTGAATCCATGAAGAACGATCACTCAGGAAGCTGTTGACAAAATGTGAAATGCTGTTCATATTTTGCTTTACAACATTCACTGTTTCATTCATAGCTTCACTCAGGTAAGGATGCATCTCTTAAATCTTAAGTGTTGATTCAACTCAGCAAAAACGTGAGTTGGATATAGTCATGCATCATCACTTAACTTGTGTTCTGGTTACCTAGTGCCGCTCTGACAGGAATATACGACAAAGGGGATGGCCTTAACAAACAGGAGTTTATTCTCTTCAGTTTGGAGGCTTTATGTCCAAATTCAAAGTGCCAGGCTCTAGGGGCTGGGTGAAAGCCCCTCAGCCTTGGGCTTCAGCTCTGCCTCCAGCTCCGGGCCAACATTAGTTAGAGTCTTTTCTTCACTCAGACAGCTGCTGGCTGCCGAAGCTGCCAAGTTCAAGGTGGACAAGTAAAAAGGAACAGTCCCGATGTTACCAAATGACATGGCAGGCCATTAATTCAAGTCCATTTTAAGTCCCAAGTGTGGCAGAGCATGGCAGGCTGCTGGACAATGACATAGCTACATGCAGGGTTTAAGGTGCCATAAGCTAGAGACCATTCCCCAAGGATTCTGCTTAGATATGGGAAGCAGACCACATCCCTAAGGCTGCTCCCAGTAAATTACATCATGGAGTTGATTACCAGTCTCATCACGGGGAATACTACATCCAGCTGCACAGCCACTCAACCAGGCCCAGCCAAGTTGAAACATAAACTGAACACAACTTGCATGATGCATCCTGTGAAACAGGACATTATGTGATTTGGATGTTGTGCAAACACCATTATTATATACAAGCTGTCCCTGAATTATGAAGAGTTCCATTCTTACATCTGTCTTGAAGTAGAATTTGGACCGAAGTTGGGTCCTGTCTGTTGTTGTTATGTGCCATCCAGTCAGACCCAACTCATGGCGACCCTTCCTTGGGTTTCTGAGGCAGTATCACTACGGAAGTAGATTGCCCCATCTTCCTTCCGAGGAGTGGCTGGTGGGCTGAACCACCAGCCTTGTGATTAGCAGTCAAGTGCCTTAGGCACTACGCTACCAGAGCTCCCTGGGTCCTGTCTGTCAAATTCTCTCCATAGTGTACTTCTCTATGCATAAAAAACATTATAAAAAACATTTCCAGATACATTAAAAGTTCTTTTAAATAAAATGATACAGTAACAATGGGGACCTCTGGTGGCACAGTGCCTAAGGCACTTGACTGCTAACCAAAAGGCTGGCGGTTCAAACCCACCAGGCACTCCTCAGAATCAAGGTAGGGCAATCTCCTTCCGGAGTGATACCGTCTCAGATATCCAAGGAGGGAGGGGTCACTGTGAGCCAAAATTGACTTGACGGCAGTGAATTTGTTTTTTTGTTTTATGCAGTAATAATGTTTTGATGTTGCAAAGTAACATCTATTACCAATGTCATTGGCTTTATGGGAGTTGGGACCATGGACATATATGCACTCACACATTGCCCGAACAGACTTTATACAAGTAGTGCATGAAGGCATAGACTTTATTTGCCAAAGATTAAGGGATATTTATCCAAAAAAAGGCAAAAACTTAAAAACTTTTTACAGCACAATATTTCAAACATGTTTAAATTTTCAAAAGAATTCAGTTCCTCACTGACACTAACATTTTAAGTGCTCAACAGCCACATGTGGAAGTGGCTACTATACTGGACAATACAGACATCACTATGAATGCTTTTTTGGATAATCCTGAAGGATTTAAGGGGAGTCACTGTAAGAAATCTTGAAAAACATCTGCATCTTACAGCTCATATGTAAAAGAAAATCAAGTATCTCCCAAATTTTACAAAAATCCTAATATAAATGGTATTAAAGTTGAAAGAAATTTCTAACCAAAAATTTTTTTTCAACACCATGCTAGAAGAACATAGTTTCTGTTCAGAAACGACTACAGAATTCTCATAGGAACAGGTGATCAAAGAGTTTATAGCCACAAAACCAGAAAGGAAAAAATATCATAAAGGTTATCAGGCAGTTAATAAAAATAGTTTTCTGTATTTTGTGATGAGTAGGGTATATTGGCTTTAAAATTTTTTCATTTCTTTACAAATTTTAAATAATTATGCACCCCCATACTCAACTTCAGTTGTCATTTTGAATTCCTTAAGAAACACCACTTCCATCTCCACCCCACCCCACCCACTAAAGAAAAAAGAAAACAACCCAAGCCTCAGTTCCTATAAAATCTTTATTTGCCCAGGACAGATTTTACCTGGAAAAATAAGCCATCCACAGCCTCTTCCATTCTTCTTTTACTACTGGAATAAGTTAGGATACTTCCATGTACTACACTTTGATTTAATTTCTAGTCATTTTATCCTATTACTTGGGTGCGATTATTTATTTAAAAAAACCCACAAAAACATCTAGAACATTCTAAGTTTTTATTTGAAACATCATGCGAGATAATAATTTCAATGAAAAAAAAAACAAAAAACCCTAAGATAATACATAAATTTTGCAGCATTTAGGTTGTCCCCAGCAGTCACTGTAAGGCAGTAAGGCAGTCACTGATCAAACTGGTAACAGTAGGAAATTTGACAAAGGATTCATGTGGAAATAGTACGGTAACATTAATGGTCAGTAACAAAGGTCCCAAAAAGCACTGTTTTAGAATGATCCCCAAACAGCAGCAGTTAGAGAGATATTTCTGTAATGAACTCCTTTTCCTGCTAATAAGCCCTCATTTGCCAATGCAGCCCTCTGACCTATGCCAACTTGGTGGATTGTTACTATTCAGGTCTGAGCTTTCGTTGCCACAGGCCAACAGAGCCTCACTGGGCTT